GATTTATAGTTATGTCGAGCAAGAATTGCAATGTAAAAGGACAATTTAGATTATAACTTGCTTAAGGCACAAATCAAAATCTTCAACTAGAGTGTCAGTGTCACAATGTTCATGAATCCCACGCAAGTAACAAGTCGTATGATGCTTCATTCATCATTCAAAAAAGCTTATTTTGAAATATCTGCGGAGCCTGCAGTATCAGCGACCAAAAATGAATCCAAGGGACTTAAGTGTCAGAGAGTCAAGCTCGGCGGAAGTCGGATGATCATCTCACTCAGATATATTATATATATAATTATAAAACCTTGGTATTCACTTTCCTTAACAAATTCATATCTCGCTCTTAGTATCTTGTCGCTGGTTACTTTATGGAATAAAAACAAAGGACTCTACGCCAACGACATGAGATTGAAACAAAGTTGATCTAAGATAACACATATGGACTGTAAACATTCTAAAATCGGCTTTATCCCACGTGCCTGCAAAAACAAGTCTTGAACAGTAAACCGATCACTACATCAATGACATGAGATTAAAACAGGGATCTAAAAAGGCGATCAGGAAATAGGCTGCATTTGTCCGATATTTTGGAGGTTCCATTTCATGGTGCTAACCCTTAATTAATAACCGGAAAACATTACAGATTTCGTGTATGCCGCACAAAATACATTCGTCCATTTCCCTTGCTTAGCTTACGACTATACGAGGAGAGTCTAGCAAACGTATCAGATATTTAACATAATCTGAAACATAAGATCTCCAGACATGTTTACAACGAGCACCGCACTTACTTCCGCTCTCGTGAAAATGAAGAGGAATTTCGAAGTAAATCCACTCTCTAAGCAGACTATAAAAGTTATCATGTTCAGTAATTGTTTAAAAGCAAACCACAAACCTTGATTTTTATCTCCAGTCGCAGCTCAGCTCCGACTATGATCGGCCCGAGTCATCTGAAGCTCCTTCGTAAATATTGAGCGCAAGCTCTCACTAAAAGTTCATCAAACGACGTACATGTGTTCAAGCTTTGGCCCAATTAGAACACATCATATTCGCGTGACTTTTATCAACGCCGTGACATAAAAGATACTTCACGCACCACAGACGTTTGCATGAAAAACAAGTTTATGCTTGTTTTAAACATAATTGCGAATGAACAAATCTTAAAGAAGGATATAATCCTACATTCGGCTTCCGCGAGATTACTGGTCAGACGATTTGTAGTTACGAACACTTAATTCACTTCCGCTCTCATGAAAATGAAGAGGAATTTCGGAGTAAAGCCACTCTGTAGGCAGAATATAAAAGTTATCATATTCCGTAATTGTTTAAAAGCAATCCACAAACCTATGTTTCTCTCTCCTGTCGCAGCTCAGCTCCAAACTATATTCGCGTCACTTTCATTGATGCCGTGACATAAAAGACAGGCGTTTGCAAGAAGCACAGCTACATGCTTGATTTTAACATATTTGCGAATTGGAAATTTTAAAGAGGATTTTTTCATTCATTCCATGTATTTCACTCAAAGAGGGCAAAGCAACAACCAATCAAGGAGCCCCCTTTGAAATATTATCCTTTTCTCTTGTTCTATGTATCTTCACTTATTCGAGATCGCAACATATCTGCTCAAAAAACGGTTGTTCCTTGGTGTCTTTAACGCTGTTTGTGAGACACAAAACTCCAACTACGGAAGAAACAACAGAAAAGCTATCCAGTTACAAAGATAAAATTCCTCAGCTGACTGCGCAACAACATAAGTCATATCTCAAAGATACAACAGACTTTATAAACCTCAAAGCAAAAAAAGCTTCCAAAAGAAGTGATAATCATTTCAACGGACATTACGCGGTTACACACAAATATACCCCAACCCCCCCCCCAAAAAAAAAAAATAGCAGGGGCTTTCGCGAGCGTCTTGATGGCTAAAATTGGAATGCAAATCCTAGAAAGAGGCGCTTACAAACCGCTCGTTTGGAAACGTTACATCAGAGATATAATTTCTCTACTGCACCCCAACAAATACATCGTCAACCAGTTCATTGAACAAGCAACCAAACACCACCCAACAATCAAATTTACAGCTGAAACATGTTTCAGAAGCTAGTTTCTTAGACACCATTACATGACGAAAGATCCAACTGGGAGTCAGAACGAACTTCAAACCAATAGAGACATTCCGGTACTCATTCTTCACAACGTGTCACCCACCAGGAGCTAAGACGGGCTTCTTTAAAGGCGAAGCGCTTCGACGCTCCAGGACTAATGATTATAATCTATTGAGCTTTGAGCGTGAATGATAATTTCTGGGGAAATGAGTTAAGGGATCTTGCGATGCGAAAGTTTGATTAACAGGAAGACAAGCCGGAACTAGAATATCATTATGAAAACTTAATGACGAAGAGAGACTTAGGATTCGACCATAGAAATATTTGTAGAAAAGTTGGGTTAATACCTGGATTTCATTTGTACATCGCAGAAATCAATTCCAAACATCAATCAAGCTTTCTCTTTAGTTTAAAAGTTGAGTTGATGTTGTTACTAGATATGTAATAGAGGTTGAAAAGTTTTCAATGGTTTCTCTCATGCAAACAGTTGAATTTACTGAAAGGTGGAGTGGTTGTAAAATGTTAACATGAAACACAACAGTAAATTTTGATTGATATGTAAAAAGTTTTCATTTGGCCATCTACTAGCAAGTCTTTCTATTATATTTCAACCTGGCCATTTTCCACAACTTGTAAACACCATCACGAAATAACTAGTTGGGGAAACGGAAAATTTGTGGCATATACACCATGTTTGAAATGCCATGTCCATAATAAGCTAACAGGATTAAAGAGTGTGCAGGTGAGAATTGGCTCACTTGTTTGTATCATTAATTTTCTAATTGCTCCTGTTGCCAATGTTTTGATGAGGTTGGGCTGTCAAGGCAAAGGAAGTGAGGATTTAACTGGCACAGAGACTCTTTTTCAAACCTGGCAAGTATCATCGTGAAAAGCCATACTTGTGCCTGGTAACTCATTCTTATTCTGATAAACTAGTTTTAAGCAGGATACAATATTTTATTACAAAAATTTGATGCATAGGCTGTTCACAAAACTTTAAGTTGACTTGACTTTTAAAGCCAATGCCAACTCTCTTCACTTAATAAAATGTTAATGGAGTCAGAGGAAAAACTAATGTGCCATACATACTAATGTGCAAGATTTCAAGTAAATATTTTAATTACATGAATATTACCTGATACTAGGAGATCTAAGAATATTCAAAGTAATATAAAATTTGGTTGAAAAACAGAATTCAGCATAGGCCAAAGAGACATGATTCTTTGAATAAGAAAGGTGTAATGATTAAAAAGCCAAGCAAACTTTTTTACAACACCTGCCTGTACCTGTGTGACATGTAGTAAAGTCATGCGAAGTTGTCATAATCTTGGTTTTAATATTGAAGACATGCACATGCAGATTTCCTAGACATGTAGTTCAAGCATGCCATCTCTTCAAAATTTTGATGCACACCTCAAAAGGAAAACAAATAAATATCAAGTTTCTATTTATTCAGTTTAAGCAAATCACTTGCCTTTGAGAAGATTACAATCAATCATTTTTAATTCAGGATCTTACCATAATCATTTGACTTTGGGTATTTAACTTGCTGAGCAAAAGTCATCTTCACAAAATAAACACCGTAATTACGTCCTCGTTGTTCCACAGACAATATTCTATAATTATCATGTAAATTGAGACTTTTTTGGAGTTCAGTGATGCGGATTGGTGATTGTTTTGTAAGAAATGGCTTCTGGCGGTTTGGGAGGACCAAAGTATCCTCTGGGAACCAATTTTTGAGATTTTGTGTTAAAATGGCAAAACATTAGCCAGGAACAAAATGTAATATTTATAACTTTTATTACTTTTTCAGCACTAATTAGAGACACTTCATTGTTCACTTAAAAAGAAATTAAATTTGTTAAAATGAATCAAAAGTATACATTAACAAGCCACTGAAAATTACTTAGCAGATGCTCCACTCCATATACATTTGCTACGTGAACATAGATTTGTAAACAATATGCAGCATTATTCAGCATGAGAATCATGGCGTCTCTTTAAAGACATTAAAGGGGGATGTTTAACATTTCATGTGATGTATTTTATTTCAGACCATTTCATGGCCAACTGCGCACCAGTAAATTAATAATGTTGGGTCACAAGCTCCTACTAACTAAACCTACTACAAAAAAATGAGTCTTTTTTCTTGTTAATAATTTTTTACTATTGCTACTCCAAATAAATGTCAAGCACTAAAGATTTTTGCACAACTTAGTTGCTGAAGGGCAGGGGGATGAGGACTAAAAGCCCCTTGCTCAAAGTGGACATTAAATTGTCTTAGTAAATGTCAATTTTTATAATACTACTGGACTTGAGTAAAATTCAGGACTTTTTGTTTCCAGAAAAAAGTGTTTTTATGGTATTGCACTACAACCAACTAAAATTAATTGAAAATCTTAATAATGATTGGTAGACTTCTGATGGTGTTCCAACGATAGAAACATTTAAAACCTTGACAAATATAAAAGCAAAGGACCTTATCTCAATGACAATCTACCATCATGGCACTTTTAATATTTTAAAAATAACAGAAAAAAGATTATGGCTGAATTACCGCTAAAAGCATAAGAGGTTTATGGCAAACTTCATTATACCAGTTGTAAAGTTTGTGAAACAGAAAGCACTGATAAGAGGCTCCAAATGTCAGGATTTTGAATTGTTGATTCATCATCTGGACTTTCATCTTTTTTGAAAGAAGTACATTGACAACTTGAACTTTATTTATAAGACTAGAGGTACCTTTACATATAAAAAAAGATGAACACCCTTTTCCTGATACTAAAACAAAACTAGTGGTACTAGTAAACAAGTAGGCATTGTTTTATGGTAAATGTATGTGCTAAATGCACACACTTAAACACTACAAGAAAACTCCATGTTCATGTATTTAACAAGTTATGTTAATTTGAGAGAATAACCTTTATCGCCCAATTTTTGCATAACATCCGTCCCAATCAGCAGATCAGTGGGTGGAGCAACAGCACCAACTAAGGCATTAACATTAAATTTCTGCCCTCTTATAATAATTTTAATTGGTACTGTACAACACTGCAGAATTGTACCTCCTGGTATTGTGACCTTCTTCTTCTTAGTGTTATCAGGTTTCAGATCCAAGCTACCTACCAGTTTATTGGAAATGGCAGTCCCTACTGTATTTCCAGTATCAAATGTGACATTTCCTGGGACCCAAGAGAGATATCCAGCCTTGTCCTCAATTTTAACGGGTTCCTCGTCAATTGAGATCTCCTTGGGCCTCAGCCCTAAAAGAGAAACAATAAAAGAATATACACTTTGTACTTTAACAAAACAAAGTCATGTGGATAGGTTACCCAGCCATATCAAGGCAGGGAAAAACTAGAGAAACCTTTTCAATCACCGAATAGGCATAGGGTGAGAAGTGCTCTCATTAGCACTCAGTAAGTGATCATCTTCTTTTACTAAAACATAAAAAGTGACTGACTCTTCAATAAAAAAAGATGATGACTTCAACAGCTCTAAGTTTGTCAGGGTCTCCTAAAGACTCCACCCAGAAAGCCAAGGACAGACATCAGCAAAGATAAGCCTGAAAAGGATGATGCCTTGGCAATCATGAAATGTATAAAGTTTAGATCAACAAAACTTGATCCGTCCATATCACTTTAAATGGATAATGGGAGAAAGGAGTATGAACAACCTTCTTGATGGAATAATTTCCTAGAACTAGGCCCTCTGTAAAAATTATTTCGTACATCATTAGAAACAATGTTACATGTATATCAACATTTACATTTGGAAAAAAAGGAAAAGTTTGATTCATCATATAATATGACCTTTATAATGCTTTAGCCACAAACAATTACTTTTCTAAAACATGGTATGAAGGAGCCATTTTAAAACACTTTTTAGGTGTAGTAGCTGCCCTCTCAAGGAAAATATATGCTTCTAGAGTACCTTGAGCAACATAAAATTCAATCAATAGCAGCAAATAGGTAGCTAAAGAAAGCTAACAATTCACAAGGAAACTAGTGGTTAGGCAAGCTGGCACATGGTAATTAATCAACAACTTTCCTAAAAGTTTTCATCGGTTCATTGATGGATTACATTAAGTATTACATATTATATGTTAATACTATTTACAATAAACACAACACTTACTAAGAATAAGGCCCTCGCAAACAGCCTGATAAGTAGGGCTCCTCACTTCACTTTCAGGTTCCCTCATATTCACAAGAGCCACCTCTCCAACATCATCATCATCATTACTCACACTGAGTTGCAGTCTGACAGGTGCAGTGGTGAGCACAAGATTTTCTCTACAATTTAGTCTCAGGTTCACATGCTCACCAAGTTTTGTTCTAAATATTATTCTCTCATTTGCAATGGTACCATATTTCAAGCTGATGAGGCACAAGGATTGCCTAGGTTTGCAATTTTGGTAGATCCCTTTTGAACCCTTAGGCGCTATATTTGCCTTAGGAAATGCATCTTTTATGCCTCTATAAGCACCATCATCAAAGCTTAGGTCCATGAGGATCTTATCTGTATCCTGTAAAGAAAACAAAATAGCTCAATGAATGCCTTAGTTGTAGATAAGCATACATATTCACAAAAATTGTACGAGTACAAAAATCAGATCTTAAGTCATGCACAGACTTATCCTACATGTAGTTTTTTCCACTTCAAATCACTTCAACTACCTAATTACTAATGGAAAAAATGATAAAGATAAAAATAATGGTAATATTTGGACATGAGTTAGAATATAGATTGTAAGAATGAATCTTTAATTTTGATGGAATTACTGCTTCAATCTTACTATTGGAATTCAAACTAATTATTCATATTTCACACAGGTTTGCTTAGGAAAAGAAATTGGAGTTTGTTTTTTACTTTTTTCTTTAGTGGCTATAAATATCCAGCAAGATTTTCATGAAACCCTGCACTCCATTATGAATAAATTTTTTTTATAAAATTACCTTTAGGACTAAGGCTTTGTTTAGCCTTAGCATGGGGTTAGACGCTTTCTTTTCCATATTCCCATTGAATTTCGTTCAAAGAGTTCGACTGTGAGCGAATTTTGGTTTTCTCATGTAAGATGTTTTTGTGTGAACAAGATATACAATCAATTGAGTAAAATCAAGGTTCAGCGTCTCCATTTCATTGTTGCAATTTTTATCCATTTTATTGTTGCAATTTTTATCCATTTTATTGTTGTAATTTTTACTCATTGGGAAAGCATCCAAAATGTTCATTTGAGTCTTTCTAGCCTTACAGTGTGCTTATAATGATTATCTTCTGCTGATTTCAGAACTAATCACGCTGAAATTTTCCCAATATCCCTATAATCTTGGATGAAACTTCCACGTTTGAGCTATTAATCACAGAGTGTATACGAGAAACCCCCTCCAAATTGTAATTATGAATACCGCTCTGATTACCACAACACCAGTCTGCTCAGCCAACTCTTTACCTGTCGTCGACGCTTTGTGTTCTTTCGAAAGAGATAAAAATCTCCGACTTGCATATATCTGACCATTGAACCGAAACTAATTTTTTCTTCTTCGACTTCTTCGTTCTTCCAGAGGTATTTAAGAGCGCTCTGGGCTAAACGAAAAGGTTCACCCACGCCGCAGCCATCTTCATCGATCTCTCTGGCAAAAATGGATGTGTTATCTCCACTATGGGCCTTAGCAATACATATAACGACGCACAAACCTTCTTCAGTGTTTTCTAAAGAAACGGTAGCCGCCCTAACCATCATTTTTGAAACAAGAAAACTTGCTTTACACACGCCTCTATAGCCGCTTTCCCTTTCCGAAAAAAAAAGTTGAAAATACCGCTCACTGCATAACATCTTGTAGATTGGTCAAAACGGATCACGTGGTTAGTATCTGATGTGGTAGTTAATTCATGTTCGCAGACACAAATAGCTATTTGACTGGTAAAGATACGTAATACCCCACTACACAATATTACAGCTCCCCTATACGACGCTATTCTGTCGAAATACAAAAATATTTATATAATAAATTACAATGGGTAAAAGTGTTGCGAAGAAAAAAGACAATAAAAAAAAATAGTAATAATAATAATAATGATGATAATAATACTGATAACTAGACCCTGTGAGCAGAGTAACAGGGATACCTGGATGGTACTGGATCCTTGGAATCAAGTGGAGTGATACTACGGGTGTCGGACTAGTATACTGAAATAGTGCGCTCAAATCTGGCCAAGGGCATACACCTATTTCAAAACATAGGCATGCTATGCATGCAAGAGTTACTTTTTTTTAGGGTGGGTGGATTACTTGAAACATTGTGAGTGATGTCTACATTCTTACATTATTCCACAATAATGCAAATAATCGTGAAGGCGGATCGCAGAAAAGCGATTGCGTGACGCTCGGTAAGCTGTAAGATGACATGTTATTATATACCAGACGTAAAAGCTCTTCAGATTCTTAGTCTGCATTTTGTACCCAGTCTGCAGTCTGCAGTCCATATTTTGTGTCCGGTCTGCAGTCTGCTGTCTGCATTTTGAACTAACAGGTATCCGTGGCACCAATACAGTTTATTTTTGGTTATATTTATTCGCAAAACACACATAATCTACCACAAAATACCTGTGAGTGTTGTTTTTTTTCCGCCACAAAATGGAAAAATTGCGCAATAGTACCCAGAGGTCATTGGGCCCTCAACACCATGACAACTAACTGCGATCCAATGAGGTGTTCACATGCTGATCACGCGTGTTATCCCTCAACACCATGAAAATGGAAAAATTGCGCAATAGTACCCAGAGGTCATTGGGCCCTCAACACCATGACAACTAATTGTGATCCAATGAGGTGTTCACATGCTGATCACGCGTGTTATTTTGATGATGATTGAGGTTGTCATGCACAGACAGGGCCGGGTCACATGACGAATCACGAGATTTTGCTTATAAAACTCTTTGGTCCGTTGTTTTGTATTTTAACGTATTTGGATCATCCATCGTTGTAAATCGACCATACTTCGCTCCCTATACTATTCCTTATAACGTGTTCAAATTTCCAACAGTTCCTCTCGTAACTTAACACCGAGTCACACAACGCGTGACGCGTTCATGAATTAATCGTTGGCCTTTTCTCGAGACGTGAGCTTGGGCCACCTGTGACAAGACCATTGCGTAAACAATATTTAACATAATAACATTATACATAAAAAAACACAGGGTTTTGGATCACTTATTTCTTAAAAAAGAATATCCATAAAACTACAATGAAAACAAACATAAGATTCACCTTTCTGATCGTGAAATTAATACCATTCGTACTGTTATCGTACCTACGTTTCTTGCCATCAAGTGAATCCAACATGTCGTCTTTCTTCACAAGCAGTTTGCATCCATTATAGTTATGTTCTTCAGTCTCACGGTAGTAGTGTTGTTCAATCGATTGCATAGAGTATATGCAGTTTGGTTTCAGATTTCAGATTTTGCTTTTTACAACAAGTGAACGTTTTTCGACTACGATATTGGCATACTTAGCATACAAGGCATTCAAGGCTTTCAAGCATTCGCGACTCAATCCGTTCCAAAATTACCGCTCAATAACATCTTTCAGTGTGGATTAGCCGCGATTAATACGACTTATATATGCGTCCGTAAGTATTTTGCGCGTTCGCGCCATAATGCTCCAAGAGATCGCAATCCAAATACGTTGAAATATAAAAGAATTGACGAAAGAGTTTGTATAAGCAAAGATCACGTGATTCGTCATGTGACCCGGCCCTGTCCGTGTATGACAACGTCAATCATCATCAAGATAATACGTGTGATCAGCATGTGAACACCTCATTGGATCACAGTTAGTTGTCATGTCATGGTGTTGAGGGCCCAAGACCTCTGGGTACTATTGCGCAATTTTTCCATTTTGTGGCGGAGGAAAAAAAAAAAAAAAAAGACGACAAAAAAACAAAGGCATTTTATGACTGGGCTACCACAGGTATCCCAGTAAAAAAAGACGACAAAAAAACAAAGGCATTTTATGACTGGGCTACCACAGGTATCCCAGTAATAATGACGATGATAATTAACATAATTTCATATAAAGGTATAAAACGGTTAAAAGATCCATTTAAGAAGAGTTTCTGATAAAATGGGCCACTTTCCTCTTAAAACTTAAAATATCGTTTGTGCTTCGAATGTTTCCTGGAAGGAGGTTGTATTCTTTTGCCCCGCGAAAGACGAAAGAGCGTTGACCAGTTGATAATCTGCATTTAGGTAGGTTTAACTGTGACATATTTCCAGTGTTGCGTCCCGACACTTTAAATCTGTCATGAAATAAATCACAAAGATAAGGTGGTGCTTGCTTTGTTCTACACTTATGGATCATGATAACGGTATTTAATTGAAATTTTTGGCGGACGCTTAACCAAACAAGGGATTTGCGCGCAGCAGAGACATGATCAAATTTTTTGATACCTAGGATTATTCTGCAAGCGAAGTTCTGAATGAGTTGGAGCTTAGAAATATTTTTGCTGGAGGTATTACCCCAAACAGTAGAACAATAGAAAAGGTTACTGAAAACAAGAGGATAAATAATTAAAGAAAGAGTTTTGTTGTCCAAAAGATGTTTGATTCTATTGATACCACGTAAATTATAGAGGCAGCTTGAGGACAGTTTAGATAGTTTAGCCACACCTACTGTCAGAGGGAGGGGGTCAGATAGGACACTGCCGATCCTGACAACTTGCTTGCGTGATGATAGGTAACTCTTAAACCAGGCTAAAATGGGGTCAGACACATCCAGTAGGTGCAGCTTCGATAATAAGCTGTCGTGTTGGATGCTGTCGAAAGCTTTAGAAATGTCGATCAGTACAACAACAGATATTCGTTTTTCATCCATATGCTTAAAGAGCTGGTCCGTGTTGTGTAGTAGTGCGGTTTCAGTGGAGTGGAACTTTCTGTTTCCACTCTGTAGGCCGGATATCTTGCTATTTTGGTCAAAGAAGTCCATAAACTGCGTGTGAGCGGCCCTCTCGCATACCTTTGATATTATTGGTAGGAGGGATATAGGACGGGTGTTTTCAGGATCATCAGGATCGCCGGATTTAAGGTTTGGGATGACCACTGCGGACTTCCATGCCTGCGCAAAGCAATTCGATGCAAATGAAGTATTAATCAGATTGGTAATGACGGAAAGGGTGGCCGGTACACTGTCTTTAAGTACTCTAGCGGACACTCTATCTATTAGACCGGGCGTTTTGTTTGATGGGATATGTTTGACAATCTTTTCAATGTCCTGTTCCGTCACAGCATGAAACTCAAATTTATTCGCATTTTGGAGATCTTCCGCAGCTGGTACCACGAGCTCGACTGACTCATCTGAGAAGCCACTGTGATCGCATAGGGCCTTGGTTTTAGTGGCTGCAGCCACCCCTGCTGAAACGTAGAAATCATTAAATCTGTTCGCTTGGACCACTGGATCTTCGACAGTAGTCAGTGGTGGATCTCTTTGGCAGTGATTTATAACTTTCCAGTGTTTGTGTTTCCGTTGCACTTTAATAGTTCGGAGCGAACATTTTCCTTTTCAGCGATTCTTATCACTCGCTTAACTTCTTGCCTAAAAAATCGAAAAACGTTCCAGTGGAGTTTGTCGTTTGTTTTACGCGCCTTCTTCTGCCAACTGTCGCGGATTTTCATCAGTTGTTTGATCTCAGGTGTGATAAACGGATTCGGGTGTGACTTGATCTTGATGCGTTTAATTGGTGCTTGTTCACTCAGCGTTTCGAGAAATAACTTATTGAATACATCAACTTGATCGTCAAAGTCGTCAAAAATATTAACAATGTGAAAAGGGACATACATCAAATCGCTTAGGAATAATTCAGAGTTGTAGTTTTTGTAGCTTCTGGTGAAAATATAAGTAGGCCGAGGCTTTGGAGCTTTGAGGCTCAGTGTGACCGCCACCAAGCAATGCAACGGCCGAAGTATTTACAACGCAGCTATAAATAAAGTTCTTGTTTGTTGTTAGCGCCACGTCGATTAGCGTCACAGATGTATCAGTGGTCCTTGTTGGTTGTGTAACAAGCTGAGAGATTAAGTGAATCACAGAGATCCATCAAAGCTCGATCGGCCCTTAGGGCAAGGAGAACCCAGCAAAACTTCTACATTAAGGTCGCCAGTAACCATAACTTCCATTCCTAGAAGAAGGCAGTAAAATCGTCCAAGAATCTAGACATAGACACTGAGTCTGGCCTGTACGCAGACATAGTCGAAGAGATTTTGATTTCCTGCACTGGACTTTAAGCCAAAGTTGTTGGGAATTAGCATCCGTAGTTGTTGACAAGTTATCGATGACCGATGCTTTAAATGAGTTTCTGATGTAAACAACGATCCCGCCCCCAGATTTATGCGAGCCTCTATCTTGCCTGAAAATGACATAGCCAGGAATTTGGATGTCGTTATTAGTCGTGGGGGGGTCTAGCCAGGATTCAGAGATGACAAATATATCATAATTATCATGAACAATCGTTTGCTCGACCCGGTAGAACTTTTCGCGTGAAGCTATGGAGCGGACATTAAGATGAGCGATAGTAACGTGACCTTTCTGCTCTTTGGTTTTTTCCCCAAAGAACTAGGAGGCCCAGGGTTCAGTTCAAGGTCGTGGATAAGCAGAAGGACAGGATAAAATGTGCAGACCGAATTGCAGTACAAAAGCGTCGGGGTACAAGCTCTTTTCACCTTGATCACCACTTGAGCGAATGTCCGCCG